CGTTTCATACGACGGGTAAAGAGAGGTGGCTTACAAGTGCTGCCACATTCCTATTGGACTATCAGAACCGAGAGAGCGAGTGATCCAACGTGCTAGAGCAAGCATATCTGCTGAATTGGCAAGACAATGCGACTCATTGGTTGTTGAGGTAGGACGTCCCAGTTGTAATATCCCACGCCTCCCCGACAATGTCTGGTCTCAGCTATCCAGCAATGGACGGCAGCTTTGTTACAAGCTCTCCGTCGCTGACAAGAGAAGTCTGTGAATCCCGCCCCAAGGCGCCAAACCCGGAATCGTCTGACATGGTTGAAATAGAGCGAAGCTGACCCAGCAGTCGGGGACGCCTCAGATCCTCCAGATGGCAATACGGTGCCTGCAGCCTCCACGGGCAGGTGCAGGACCAAGGCGGATTTTCGCTGGGCAACTAGTGTTTGTGTCGCACTGGTTGAGCCCAAGGTACCCAGGCACCGGCCATGGCTGCGGGGTAGCATGCCACCCTCATAGGGGCTACCTTCCGCGAGCACATGGCCCAGTATGACAAGCGTTTGTGCTAAACTTGTCATCTCCAGGATAGTATTCCAAGTACAATGTTTTGTGAAAACATGTTTTTGGTGACTCCCACCCTCCCGCCCTGATGGCACTCCCTTCACTTTCGGGTGATGGGGAGAACTTACACTGTGTCACCCTCAGCAAAGGTGAAGCAGTCGGGCTAGAGCAACACCCACCCAAGCTGATGGCTGTGGGATGAGCCACTGCCATGTCATGTGACAGGACCTGCACCGGTCATACCCAAGCAAGCACCAAGTTAGTCGTGTCTCTGGACGGGATTCTTTGAACCCATGTAAGGAGATGGTAAACTTGAGGAGACGTCTACGAGGTGTTGCCTTTAGCTGAGGCAATATCTGATGATAGGACAACCAGTCCCACCTCATAGGATGACAATCCGTCACCTAACTACCCAGTGAGGGCTCCAGATGAACAGTTATGGCCCAGATTGTTCTCACTGGCCCTTATGGGGAGATAGACAGATACCTCCTAAGCCAAAGAGCTGTGATGCAAGTATGGGAGACCAGATGAGATCCAATTGACGGTCAAATGGACCATGCCAATGGCCACCCTTTTCTCTACGAACACGATGGAGGTTCGATCACAGAGCCATGTAATGCCCCTCCCATGTGTCAATGTGGTAAATCAAGCAATGGAACCTTGTATGTATTCAAAGGGTTGGTAACCCCTGATGGTATGCGAGCCAAAGTCCAACACTGAGAAGGTCAGATGCTACCCAGTTCTGGAAGTATCGAGGGAAGACTCCATGATGGTGCAACGGCTTGCTTGGCACCGCATCCATGACTCCAATGGTGCGGGAGCGATGAGATTATGCATAGGAGCCATATCTAAGGGTGCGGCGCAGCTGTGCTGGCTCGTCGTGATGGAAAGATCGCGCTGCATCTGTGCACTCTATTCAGTAACAATGAGCGGTGCACCATCAGACAAGATAGAGAACAGCTGTGAGTACATATAGTTCCTCGGCAAGGAATGATGATGCACTCCTCAGCGCATCCTTTAGACAGATGCTTGGTATTACTAGCCAAAGAGATGCATGGATCTGTTGCTGCATGGCTGGATGGACGTTTCACGCAAATCAGAGTTTTGTGTTCATCTTATAGTTTAAAGAAGTAATGAATAAGTAGTTGACCTAGATACCAACAGCAGCAAATAGAGCTCTCAGTAGAAGGATCCTGTATGGCCAGTGCCAGGTATTGAGCAATTAGACCGTTCAATCATTGCTTCACAGTGATTGATAGCATTGGCTGCCCAGCCTGGCTGCCTTCCATCGCCAGTGAAGTGAGATCTCCACCAACAGGACTCTCCAATCCCAGCTCTTGTTGCACCTACAGCTTGAGTTCAAAAATCCAAACATGTAATTGTAACGCAGTGAATGGTTAAGGTCGGTTGAGCTCCAGTGTACTGGGTTCGATTCCCGGGCGTTGCATCTTTTCTCATGTTGTGGAGGGGATTTCTGTAGTGGTATTATCAGGGAAATTCTCGATCTGGTGCAATACCGTCGAATTACGGGCCTGGTATTTGGTTAAGTAGTGTATGATGGATTGACCGATTGCCTGCGAGGAATGCTGGATTGCAGGTGTTCTGTCAATGTGGGTTTCTTGCGGGCCAATCCATGGGGGATCATAGTCTGCTACGAGCCGCGGGATTCGTGACTGTCTGGGGAAGTGATGAATTGAGCAGTCACTCTCTGGCTGAAACCAGACAGGCATTATAATGCTAAAAATCCAACTATGTGAATTGAAGCAGTGAATGGTTAAGTCAGGTTGAGCTCTTCAATGTGAGGCCCTGGGTTCGATTCCCGGGCATTGCAATCTTTTCTCATGTTGGTCGGGGATTTCTGAGTGGTATATCTCAGGGAAATCTGATCACTCTCAGTAGACTTCCTCGTCAGGAGGGGGAGAGTAGTGAGTCCACTGCGACTCCAAACTCGTCACAGCGTTCTCACAGCCAGAACACTTATTCTTCAACCAACGAAGATGGTGCAATGGCATGCCAATGTCAGGGACGCCTGACGCCTTTTCTATCTTTGAAGATCCGCAAATGACGGAATGTTTCCTGCTCCTGAACTTTCCGTTCGTCAACAATGACAATCCGTTCGCCTTGGACTACGATGTCATCAAGGGAGAACAAAAGGACGACCAACGTCTACAAAAAGCTGTCACTTCACAGCCAAAACATTACATCTCCCATGCTTTTACGGATGGTGGCTCCGAAATAATATGCCACCAAGAGTCACGAGACAAGCCACTTAGAATCTGTCTTCCAGATTCTATGGTGAATAGTGTGGTACGCTTTTATCACATGGCCTTGGTTCATCCTGGACCACAACGATTGTATGAAACACTTTCGCAAGTGTACAAGAACAGCAAAATCCATGCTGCAGTACATCAGTTGTGCCGCACATGTGATGCATGTCAGAAATGCAAGTCTTTGGGGGCAGGATTTGGACATCTGCCACCTCGACAAGCATTCACAGTGCCATGGTATGAGGTCGCTGTCGATCTCATTGGTCCATGGGATCTACGTGATGAAAAAGGGAAACTACACAGTTTCACCGCCTTAACTATAATAGATACAGTCACCAATTGGCCGGAAGTAGTCCTCATGGACAACAAAACAGCGGCACATATAGGCCGTCAATTCGAAAACAATTGGATCGCAAGGTACCCAAAACCTGAACGATGCATCTTCGATCAGGGAAGTGAATTCACTGGTAGGGACTTTCTGCAAGTCCTCAAGCGACACAACGTCGAAGATCATCCGATCTCAGTACGAAATCCACAAGGGAATTCAATTGTAGAACGACTGCATCAATCAATAGGCAATTCATTACATCTATTGGCATATGCTCATCCTCCAAAGGATGATCAAGGTGCACGACTCATGATTGAGACAGCATTGCAAACAGCAGCCTATGCGGCACGAACCACTATTCATAGCACTATGAAATTGTCTCCTGGAGCAATGATATACGGTCGCGATATGATCATGAACATACCGATCGAAGCCGACTTCCATCTACTGCGACAACGTAGGGAAGCTCGGATCAACTACAATTTGTTGAATGAAAACAAACGTCGTATCCATTACGACTACCAGCCGAACGAACAAGTTCTTAAACTCGTTCCGCTTCCAAACAAACTGGAGAATAGAGCGGAAGGACCGTACACTATCACTAGGGTACATACCAATGGTTCTGTTACCATTAGGCTGAGTCCTCATGTAGAGGAACGCGTTAACATACGCAAAGTCAAGCCTTACAGGCAATGAGGTTTTCCTTCCTTCGCAGTTTCCTCATGTATAATCTTCGTCGTCGAAGCACAAAAATAATAACAGCTCGCAGACTATAAATTGGCTAGTCAGCATGCCTCCGTGTACGGCAGGCTGACTCTCCAACTGTGACTAACTGTGAATAAGCGTGACTGCAGAATACGTCAGCTTATGGGGGCAGGGTGCAGTGCTAAGGCTGCACAGCTGAAATAGATAAGAGCCAGCCTGTCCTAGGCTGGCATGCTCTTTGGCCCAGCTCCACAATTTGGTTGAGAATGACAACCAAATATGTGGTTGCCTGGCTCCCTTACAAGTTTGGTAGCCAATAAAAGACTGTGCAACTGGTATCTGCCTGTACAAGATATAGCATAATTTTTACTTTAGAGGGCTACTGCACTCAGCACTTGTATGCGACTGATCCATGCAACTGCCGTGATAGATTCAAACTGCTAAAACCTTCCCTCTTCATCAACACCAAACACTCAAATCCACCATACAAATCCCTTCAACCAAGCTACATCATTCATCAACACAAGTAAGACTGCAACAACCACCCCTCATGAAGCTCTGGCAAAAACAAGGCCATGAATGAAAAGGCAAAATAGATTTGAAATACAGACAAAAGATGAGGGAACAGTTAAATTTGCATACATTATTTCAGAGTCAAGCCTACACCTCCACCACCTTTCTTCAGCTAGCTCAACAACTAGTCCGGAAGTAGCTACTGTGGAAAGATGCTTGTTGAAGAGTATACTATGGGCTGTAGCATACTGTGAGGTAGAAGGATTTTGCTACCTTGATCATTGGCTCTATTGCGATTTTTTTAAGGTCAAACAGAACAAATCCTTATATTCATGGAACCCGATCACTCTGTGCGCACATGGGCCGAAACTGCAGCCCTTTTTCCTGTAAGCCTTTTCGGCTGGGGCATTGGAAGGTAGTTGCGGTAAATATAGGGTTAAAGTTATCTGCATTTTTGTATGAAAACTATACTTTACCGCAACTACCTCAACTCCAAAGTTGTCTTACTGAAGGATTGACTACGACTGTACCGCTGCTCGCCAACATATCGATACGTACACGTACGTTCAGTCAACCACGACTTAAAAAGGATATAAGCCGCTCTGCAGGCTGGTACGGTACTGGTACGACTGTCACAACAACACAACAACGCAACAACTGCAACAACGCCCACTGAAGCTTCTCACCATGTTGTCTCGAGCGGCGCTTCAGCAACAATGTCGGTTGATCCGACGGGTCCCATGCCACTGGCAGCATTCAGGAAATAATCAAACGATTGTAGTCCTTCGATGGAACAACCGCCGATGGCTTTCTGCCAAATCCACTCCAGTCGTTGAGAAAGCGCAAACACAACAACAAGAAGGACGTTGGCGTTCGAGCCTCCGTCGATTTGCCTTTTTCGTCAAGATGCTTCGAATTCCTGCACTGGGCCTGTCTGTGTATGCACTAGGGCGACAACAGGGAATCATTGAGTGTTCTCGCAATCCACGGTTGATCGAAGACGAGCTATTGCAGACCATTTTGATGGACGTGGGAGTCAAGGATCGCAGTCAAGTCCAAATCTACTCGTCCGAAGACAGTGTCACCTTGGCGGCGACGTCCGTGGGAATTTTACAATCCAAAACCATTCGGATTGGAAATGACATTGTGCGATGTGCCAGTCTCTTTGTGCGAAAGAAACTGGCAAAAGCGATTCAGGATGTCAAAGACAAACAGCCATCGGATGTTTCGCAAGAAGATTTTATCAAGGCTTGTCATAAAGACGAAAATTTTGCGTACTGGACACAGGCACTGTATCGAGTAGAAGGAGAAGATCCAAACATTCCATGGAAATACATACTCATTGACAGTCCACTGGCAAATGCCTTTGTGACGGAAATTTTACCACAGGTAAGCACCTACCGGTACTTGTGTTCTATACATTCATGCATGTGACTTGGCAGGGCTGGAGTTTTCCTACTATTGTCTGACTTCCAATGGATTGAATGTTTGTTTGTATCAAAGCGATTCTTTGTCACCACCAAAATGTTTGATGATTACATTGAAAATGAAGGTAAGGACTTGCTTGTGTTCCATACATGCATGAAACCTGTGACTTGTAGCGGTGAAGTTTTCCTACCAGACTGTCTGACTTCCAATGGAATGGATTTGTTTGTATCAATGAAGATGAGCTCGCCGTGGTTTTGGGACACGAAATGAGCCACCTCATTTTAGGACATGTCAGTCAACGCAACAACCTGGAAACGGCGCTCCGTACCGTGGAAGTGCTGCTCTTGTCCATTGATCCTACGGAGGGATTGATGAGTTTGGGAGTCATTGCAGGACTGGCATGGATGCGAGGCGTGCTCATGGCCTCCTTTTCGCGAGAACATGAAACCGAAGCCGATGAATTGGGAACCCAGTTGGCTGCCATGGCTTGCTACGACACCAAACGAGGATCTCTCGTCATGAAGAAAATGCATGATCATCAAGTCAAGATGTCGGGACAACCAAAAAGCAATTCGGACAGTCATCTACTTCATTTGCTAGACAGTCATCCCCCGTCGATAGATCGCTACGAGAAGATACTGAAACAAAGTGAAACAGAAAACCCACAAAAGTACAACTCCCAGTGTGCGACGATTCAAGAACGAATGATCCAAGCAGTTTGGGGTGGAAGAGGCAACTAACTAAGAAACGGCGGTAGTATGATAGTTTCCTGTTGGCCTGCTGACAACTTTTCCTCGCATACATTCATTTTGCCCTCTGTAATCTAAAGACCCCAGTTTAATTTTTGCGAAAGACGGCCAGCTGAGAACGCCTGGTCCGCTGTGTTGGCTCTTGTGTGGGACACAGCATGGTGGATACTATTCCCGCTCTTTTTGTACCACAAAGTCTGCTAATCCTGAGGTATCTTTTCAGCTGCTTCGATTCAAGAACAAGCAGGGTGTGACGATACGTCAAAGCCTGCGATTGAGTTTTGATGTGGCGGGCCAGTACTTCGAGTCAGAACTTGTGGAGAAAGTTGAAAATTTAGATCTGTAGCATCCGTGGTACCGACTTGTCTCAAACGCCCACGAGTGGCGTCTTCTCGCGCTCTGGATTTTTCATGCCCAAATCTGATTGGTCGGTCGGCCAGCCTTTCGCCAACCTTTGTAAACCAAGTGAGAAAGCATTGCATTCTATTCTGTCTCCGCTTTTCTCAAGCAGTTTTCATCCACCACTCTCATCAGCACAGCAAACAATAAACGTAAACTCAACCATGCCTCTTTCTGCCGGAGTCGTTGTCGGGTTGTACGGCATATCGGGTAGGTTAAGATGACTTCCACACTCGCCTTGTATTCCATTTTTGAGTAGCTCCGTCCTCACATTCGCCCTTAACAACTGCAAGGATGTGGCAAGAGTCGGGCGCTGCAAGACATGAAGGATGAACGCATGGAATGGCGTTGTCTGGAAGGCAGCCAAGTCATTCGCGACGTCCTGGAAACCCAAGGGCGCGCTATGGACGATTTCCAGACCAGCATGACCGATGGAGAGAAGTTGGCCACTCGGGAAGAGGCTGCAAAGGACATCCAAGAGTATCCAGGCGTGACGATTGTCGCTGGGCACTGTTCATTCCCTGTGGAGAAACCAGACGGCACGGTCGCATTCGAGGACGTTTTCTCGGCAAGCGACGGTGAGACGTACGACGCCATATTCTACCTTGTCAAACCTGCCGACCTAGTTGCTCAACAACGGCGACATGATACAGGCAGAGCTCGCAAAGAGCTCTCGGTTCAGGCTCTCACGGCATGGATGGAACATGAAACGGCCCACCTCAGAGAGAAATGTCAGCAACATGGAATTTACTTCGAGGTTGTTGAACAAGACACCTGTGATGACTGCCATCAAGGACTCATCAATCGGATTGTCGAAGAAGTTGTGACCCCAGCTGCTGCGAAGGTCAGAATCAAATCGGAAAATGCGCTTCGTGCTGCAATTCGCGCAGACATTCCAGACGCGGATATCTATTTGCTGATTGATGGAGATAGAACCCTTTGTCGCCAAGACACTGGCATGCTGTTCTTTGATAAAGCCACCCCCGACAAGAGCCCTTTAAGGAAAATCTTTGAGAGATATGATGAGTACACGTTCCAAGCATTTTGGGAAGCAGCAATGCTTTATGAGCGTGTCGTCTCCCAATCGGAGTACCGCCAAATTTCGGATGAGTTGGGTCAAGACAGTGTCGAAGTTTTCGACAAATGGGTGGATTTCCTCAAGCGCATCCCCGAAGGCGTGCAGCCTGTGCTGGTATCCTGCTCTAACCGAGAAGTGTGGCGAACTGTTCTGGATAGAGCCACTCGAGACGATGACGACCAGATTGCAAACGGGCTGAAGCGGATGTGCATCATAGCTGGAAACCATGTTTCTTTGCATTCCTACGTCGTCGACGATAACGCCAAAGCCATCGTGGCTTCTGAACTTCGGAAGAAATCCTGTGGCTGTCGCATTGTCGCGTTTGGTGACTCTGGTAAGTGTGGAGAGAAGGTGGAGGTCGGGTGTTTGAAGAAATTTTGCTGAACTTTCCCCTTTGCTGTAGCTCTTGACGTTCCCATGCTGAAGGCGTCAGACAGAGCGTATGTTGTCGTGGATAGTCGCCGCAACAGGTCCATGAAGACCTTTCTTGATAGCTCCAAAGGCTGCAGAAGTGGATGGCTGCAACAGCTTATAGACCTGGACCCTGACGGCCAAAAGCTGTTCTGGCATGATGGCCTCGCGGTAGCATCACTCAATGGATTGTTGGACGAAATTACCACTGGTAGCATCTACGGGGTGCAAGATTGTGCTGTGAATGGTGATTCGGCAACATTATTGGCATGCCAAACACGGCGAGCAGACCTGAGTGGAGTAGATCTCCAAAGGGTGCACGAGCAAGTTGGGATGTATCTTGCCGACAGACTGGTGGATCACAATGGACATCGAGGAGGACTGATTTGCGATGCCGAGTTTCCCCATGTGCAAGGATCGGCATTCGCTGGAAAGGCAACCTCTTGCAACGTTCTGATTCTAGCATTGATGCGAGGCGGAGAGCCCATGGCACGTGGTGTCTATCAACGCTTTCCCTCTGCACAGTTCATTCACTTCGATCTTCCCAACTGTGGCATCCAGGTGGAAGATCACCGGGTTCTGCATCATATCTTCAAGAACGCCAGCTGCGAACAGACCCTTAATGTCATCCTCGTGGATTCTGTTGTAAATAGTGGCACCAGCATTAGGCGTGCCATTCACAGCATTCAGCACAACGCCAACAAAGCCAATCCTTCTTTGCGTGTTGCCGTGTACGTGCTGGCTGCTGTAATGCAAGCAGAATCTGCAAACAAACTTCCACCTGACTTCCCCCGAGCCAGATTCTGGAGTCTCCGTGTCTCGGAAAATAGTTATGTTGGGCGCGGTGTCCGGCAGAGACTAACTCCAGTCATAGTGAAGCACCAGTAGCAGAGCAAATGAGGGTCCACAACCTTAAAGCCAGCATGACCGGCAGGTAACTGTAGGTGGTGCCTGCTCACCCAGCATTGGCATTGGATGAGCTGGCACCAACAAGATAACAAGCACCAAGTGCTTATTCTCTTGTCTTTGTACACCAACAACAGTTGATGTACAAAGCCTTCGTTTTCCTGCCTTGCCTCATCGCTATCCGACATCTCGTCCCGTTCCGCCTTTGCTTCTTCATCTTTGTCGCGCCCCTTTCTTCCGTCTCTCTTCCCATGACCGACAACGATCCCCTTCTTTCTCCGACGGCCGCCATCGCCCAGCCCCTTCTTCTTCAGGGTCTCCTCGGGCCCCGGCTCGTCCACAACCAAGATCTTCCTACCTCCATCCTTCCCCGCTCCAACTCCTGGAATGATCCTGCTATCATGCAATCCGACTCCACCTCGGCTATCGCCGCTCCCGCTTCCGCTCCACCCTCCAGGATTCCCAACTTCACGGCCTCTCTGCCAAATACACCGCTCCTTCCAACCTCGGACTCCTTCTCCGATCTCCTTGCAAAATCCATTCGCAGCGGACCCCACACCCGGGCCTGTCTCGCACCGAAGCCTACAATCTCATGCCCCGCCGTAACATTGCGGTTTTCTCCTCATCGCCAAGTTCCGCCTTGCCGACGGCTCTCTTTCAGCCCCCCTCTTCTGCATCACGGGACCCCCGCTGTGGCTCCGCCCACTTCCATTGGCTCTTCAACAGCCTCTTCCCGTCGGCTTCCATGCCGCCTGACACTCAACTGGCCACTCAAGTGCCCTTCCACCCCACGTTCAGCCCGTGGCCTCCCGTTTGCCACTGACTCTCGCTCCGCCATCGCTTCCTTAACCACCTCCTCTCTCCCGACTCCATCGTTGCGACCTACCTATCGGCGTCATTCCCGACGCCCGCAACATGTTTGAACTCGTCCCAATCCACAACTCAGTCATGAATGTCTTGCACGACCTCCCCGAGACACATCCAATTCCTCGCCAACAACATCTGGATTCCAGACGTCACCCCTGACGATTCTTCTCAGGCATCCACACCCAACTTAGAACTCATCACCATCCTCCGAGAAGGAGCTACCCCACCCTGTCCCCTCGCAGCACCCTCGCCTTGCCCAAACCAGCTCCACCTGGCTCCCCACCACGATCCCTCTTGCGAACGCCAACTCTCACCCATCATTCGCGACCCAAATCTACCTCAAATCCCCGGAGCCCAACAGCTCCCCTGACATCTCCCACGGAATCATCTTTGCCCCAAAGCAATCCCATTCCCTCCCCGCCACCGGCCTTCCCATTGGCTTCGTCGCGGACATCACTAATATCCTCTCCTCCAGCTCACCGCCACTATGCCATCTTGCCTACGAAGATGACACTACACAAATCGAATGGCTCCTGAACCCCATCACCGAGTTATGGTACCAAGCGCTCAAGATTCTCTGACATCTTCGTCAATATCATTGAATCTTATCAAGCATTCACTGCCCCCTTCAAACCACTCCCCATGCCCCCGTCTTTCAGTCTCAATCTCACCCGTCACATGGAATGGTCAATCATTCACACAATCCTCTGGGACTACGCTCTAGCCGGCACTCCTCGCCGTGCAAGCCAAACTGGGACATATGCCCAACGCGCCCTAGCCGACGCCCACGCCCTTCCTCCAGACAGCATCTTGCCCCTCTCGGCTATGCCTCCTCCATCTGGAACCAGCCATACATCTTTGCCTATCGTCCTCCCGATACTAAAAGCTGGCTCACCCGCTACCATCTCAAACTCTATTCTCAGTGGCTCCTACTTATTTTCCACTGAACGCCCAACTGTACAAGAGCCACACTATTACTCTCTCTAAGGATCTCGCGCTTCTCCCGGTGCTTCCACCACTCCCTCCCACTACTTCCACTACCGGCCGAAGTCACGCCTGGCTCCACCCAAGACACACCCCACTCAAATCCCTGATTCCGAGGCTACCACTCCTATTCCCCTCCGGACACTCATCCACTTCCTCCCACCTCGCCCAACTCAGCCTACAAAGCAGCGATGGCACCCTATTAGCTGGTTCTACCCAGGCGGATCCCACAGCCCAATCTCCAGCCTCCGATAATCTCAAAACGATGTTCGATAAAGCGCCGGCTCCACTCGCAAACGTCTTCATTTCCAGGATCTCACAAGAATGCATTGATTTGTCCACCCAACCAGATCCGGAGGTCCCTCCTTCCAAGCAGCCCAAACTGTCGGACAACTCGCTACCCATCTTTAATCCACCGCAGCACACTCCACCGTTGACCAGCTTTCCACAACTCACCCCTGGGCCATTCCAGCAGCTCGCCGAGACGCCACTCGCTTCCTCCGTCACCACCCACTCCACCGATCCACCCGCCTTTTAGCCTTCTCTCAACTTCACTCTCAATCCACCGCTCTTGCAACTGAAGCTAAACCGGAAGCTGCCAGTACTTCTTTTCCCACAAACTCATGGCGACCCCCGCCGCTCCTCACTCGAGACGTGGTTCGCATAGCAAGTTTCTTCACCGCCACAATATTGCCCGATTCTCTCACCTTCACTATATCCAATCTTCAGCGCATCGCCTCGATCCCTCCAACCATATTGTTCCAGGCTTCCTCGCAGGTGACTTTCTCGCGAAACTCACGGCTGCCACGGTAAAGATGCAAGACATCCACCCAAGTCAAGGCCCTTCAAACGTGGCTTAAACAGCAAGCGCGCGAAGGCGCTAGACGTACCGAACTCCAGGGACCCATATGCCGTTGCGACCCACCTTTTTCGACACCAACATCACTCAAGCCATCCAGAACATGGCATTCCTCCAGCCTCCATGATAGACAACAATGATGCCTCACCGATGGATCCCTTTCCGTCTTCCATTTCATCCGGTTCTCCACAACTACAGCGACCAAACCTCCCCCCGCATCCCAGCGAAAGGGCTCCAAGCCAACGCTCTGGCCGACATCGCATACAACATGTTCTTCCTTTTTCACCTATTCACCATGGATTGGTCCCTTACACACATTCTTGGTCCCGGGCACAGCCCCTTCTCACGTTTCTCTATCCTGGCGGCCAGTTATTGTTTTTTGCGGACATCTTCAAAGATCGATCCTTTCAAAATAACTGGGCAACAGCTCTGTCTACGGATGACCGCCTCCGAGCCACACAAGCCGCCTTTGCTGCTCTCGACCAGCTGTTGACATTTTCTACACCTGGCACACACCCAAATTTGCACACACTCTCGTGGATGCCGCAACTCCACCACCAACTTCCCGTTTCTCTTCACTGCGTTACTGATGCATCTACACCGCTCCAAACCGCCCTCCTAGACTGGCGCACGCAGCTCGGTCTACATTCACAATTGCCAACTCCAACAAGTATACCACGTGACGGATTCTTTCTGTCACCCTCCCGGATATCGTACTGCCGTCCAACGCCATGACAATCTCACCTCCTCATTCGCGACCTCTCTTCAACCGTCAGTCCAACGCCTCCATCCGTGCACTCCCGTCCTCTCTATCGAACCTTTCTGGGCTGTTTCACACTCTCGCCTCAACGAATCCATGCGGTCCTCGATACCGCTGGCAAGAACCACTCAGAACCCTCTCTAATCCACTTCCCTAGCTCGATCTCTTTCTAATACAACAAAATCTAATCCCTCAGCGAAGATCTCGATCCCTTCATTCCCTCAAATCCACAGCCCCTACGGTAAGCAAGCAGCCTGTTTTAATATGTCGTCGCACAATCTCTGGATGCAGGCTCCCGTCCTGCGCATTCGCCCATATCGAACTGGATGACCCCAGAGCTCGTCAAATTCCAAAATCCTACTTCACCGATCTCAAACGCTGATCAATCATCCGGCAATTACCAACTCCTACCGCATCACCCGGCAATGCCAGGTTTCAGCAACTCCCTATAGGACAACACATTCCACATCCTCCTCCTCCTCCAGATCCTTCCCTTCCTCTCTACACATGTGCACCAGTTGATCCGCTTTACGCTGATAATCCACTGTCTCCTCCTCGAGACCCCAACCCCTACCGCCTCCGCGGATGGGGCAAAGCATCCGCAAACCGCCAAACAGTTTGCAAAACTTCTCTATACGGCCTTTTCTTCCATCTTTGCCTGGCCTTTCCTCTCACCCACCGACCGCATCGTTCTGTGCGTTGCCGCTCCTGCTATGATTCTCTACGCACGTCTCCGTCGTCGAGCTTTCCTCCGTCACAATCTAATCGACCATCTCCGACAACCACGTGGTCCCCCTACCGATGAACCCCTCAGCAGCACTCGCATGTTGGACATGGGATGTGCTCTTCTCCGCTTCAATTTTCGCTACGGCGACTATGATCCGCTGCTCGGCGGCCAATACACTGACGAGCACCGTGACTGGTCAGCCGTCTTCGATCAATTTCACGCTGTGGAACACATTCACCACCCCCTGGCTTCCCTCCAGTTGACTATGATCGCTTTCTCGCCTCTGCCTTGAAGGACCCCTCTCGAAGGTCACTTTGTCAGCGACCCAAAAGATACAGCAGCTCGAAATTGCGAACCACTAGCGGCCGACCTCAAGAAGAACGGTCACGCGTCGACAGCAAATCCAAGCCGAAGAACAACTCAGCTACACCTCGTCCTTCCCCGATTCCTCTGTGCGATTCATCCCCGGCCTCTTCATTTGCATGTTCCAGTCGCTTACAGATGGCGTGACCCCAAACCTCGACTCTGTGTCGACCCTTCAACACTCTCTCGCCCACCGACACGGCAACCCCAACCGATTCATTGATGACCCAGGTGTCAACCCTGATGAAAATCCTCCTATCTACTACGGTAATGCTCTTATCCGCTTACTTAATCTGGATTTGGAACTTACGTATTTCTTACCCATTCGAGGAGATCCTTCAAATGGCAGACGACATCTCAGCAGCTTCCACCGCGTCTTGTATCATCCAGATCTAGCCATTGTTCTTCGCTACAGTCTGGCGTAACATGCTCGTATTCCCGTCGGTACTATCTTTGGAGCTCGCAATAGCCCTTCTTTCTACATGATCAAAGGTGAAATGCGTTCCCATTTTACCCAATCCTACCCCACTCCCGACGATCTTCCCATTCAGGATCTCACTCAAAGTGTGGTTCTACCACCACCACCTACAACTCGGAAGCCCTCTCCTTCGCCCAAGCCACTCCAGACTCTCAACACACCGGCATACGCAACCCACACGGCCCGGTCCCTGAACCCGACAACCTGCCTTCGTTGATGACAGTGGCAACGCTCACATCCGCAAGTGGTTCCTCGGCCTCGTCAACTGCAGTGTTACGGAGCCTATATTCTCTTCGGCTACCCTCGGGACGACCCCAACCGGCCCCCATGCATCACCCAATTAAATGGCAAGCCTTCGTTACTCATCTCCTTCTACTTCCTCGGCTACGAAATTGACACTCGCACCATGCGCCTCATATGGCCCATCAAGAAGCGCGAGAAACTAATATCTTTCTCGATGAGCTTCTCGCCCAACAAACCGCCACACCACGCATCGGTTCCACTCCCCATGCTTGCTCTCAACTGGTCGGCCTCCTTCGCCATGCCGCCATTGTCAGTCCCATCGGAATCTACCTTCCCTACCCTTCAATTCACTTCAATGATCTCGTACCAAAGCCCTGGATCTTACCACTCCGCCGATGGTACCAACGACCCATCATTCACCTTCCCAACACACCATCAAAGAACTTCAAGCGCTGCGCCGATCCATCTCGATGGACCGCTACGCTCCGGATGGAGTCGCCCCACGGTCTCATCATTCCTCGGACCCACTATTCAATCCGCTACCGATGCCAGCACCTACGGTCTGGGTGGTTGGTGTGCCACCTCAGGCTACCAACACATGTGGCGTATCACTGTCCCAGAATTCGTCGCCGCTGGTCTCCCCCAATCATACGCTTCAACAACCCACAATATGGCGAAAGAGCAATCGACCCTCTTCTTCACCACATCAATATTCTTGAGTTCATTGCCATCATCATCGAACTCTGGAATCACTCTCTCTTTTTTTTT